ATTAGATCCATTCTTACAAAGCGCTTTTTGTAAATGAAATGATCACAGATCATAACTGTTTGACAGAAACCTGGCTAAAACCTGATGATTACATTATTTTAAATTAAGCTTAAAGAAGGTTATGGAAAACAGTCTGACACCATGGTATAACGAGCACACTCGCACCCTAAAGAGAGCAGAGCGCAGCTTGAAGTAGAGGTGACCCTGAATAGACAAAGGTTCGATGCTTCAATAGGAGGAGCCTGACTAGCAGTGTCACTGTCGAATCTTCGCAGAGGTGTTATGAAACGAGGATCATGCCATTTTGGCTATATGGGGGTGCGAGATGTCTGCTTTCATATAGAACTACTGGTTTTCTCCCAGTAAGTTAATATACAGCCTATTATGACAATGCTGTAAATAAAAATGTGAAAAGAAGCTTTTAATAAATATTTTTAACATGCGTGAATAAATCCAACCACCCCTATGACAGATTGAAGTTTCACTTTCTATGATCCGTGACTGACAGAGGAGCATCTTGGCAGCAGGGACTTAAAATAAGATTTATTTATTTTTATTTTATTTATTGATCACTCGTGGCTATCCAATGTAACTATTTGTGGCTTGTGTTTTGAATATATGTTCCCCTGCACTTTAGGCATTTTGTACACATTTGTTCTGCACCTTGGGATTTATTTATTTCATTTTTAATTTTATTTATCTGAAAGGTATATTCTGTTCTAATTTAATTCTGTAAATTAATTTTTGATAGTTTTTGGGTGCATCGATGTTGCGCTGCACAGGCAATTTAGCCGATTTTTCTGCAGTGTGGCCATTCTGCAGTTATTTATTTATTTTATAGGTTTATTGTTCCAAAATGTTTTTATACATTTTCTTCTATATCTTTGTGTGATGTTCTGTACATCATGGCTTTTTTTAATCGTTTTACGAATGTTTTACGAAGGTTACGAATCCACATTGCCTTTAATTTCAACTTTAAAAGCATAAAAAGTTTCAGTTTCGTCTATCACTTAACAGGCGGTTTTGGTCACTTTATTAGAAAGTTGTTTCTGTGTGCTGTGTGTGACACACACACACACACACACACACACAATTTGACTTGCAGTCAACTATACACAAGACTTGTCAACTAGAGGAACCCTAGAGACAGATCCCCTGTGAAGACCTCGTTGGCCATCAGCACAAGACCACAGGAACCTGTCGAGTCCTCTGCACAATCTGACTTGTGTTGCAGCCTGAAATTAAACCACACCATGCTGGTTTGGTCTGGTCAGAGGAGAACTGGCCCCCTGACTGAGCCTGGTTTCTCCCAAAGTTTTTTCTCTATTTCTGTCACCGATGGAGTTTTGGTTCCTTGCCACTGTCGCCTCTGGCTTGCTTAGTTGGGGACGCTTGACTGGTTGCACAGACACTATTGGACGAGAGCTGAACTGGAGGATGACAGCACTGAATCATCAATGAACTGACTTTAGCTGAAAAACTGACTGTTTTCATATTGTCCTCTTGCATTATCAGCACACGTTTTTACTGTTTAACACTGTAAAGCTGCTTTGACACAATCTGTATTGTATAAATAAAGGTGACTTGATTTGACTTTTCTGTGACATTAGATTATAGCATGACATAGACACAGAAAATATGAAAAACAACCCAAAGATGTAGTTTTAAAATATTTAAAAAATATTATTTTAACATATTTCATGTGCTGTGATGGTTGAGATTTCAAACAAAACAAAAATCAAGCGAGAATATACTAATATTTTATTCTATTCGCCATGTCCATGTTTTATTTTACTCCAAAATAAAAAAGGATTTATATTTTTATAAATATATTATTGTTTTATTTATATTTAAGCATTTTCTCACATGTTTTAGGTTTAAAGCCTATTTTTAGTTTTAATTATTTATTTATTTTGCATTGTGACATTATTTTCTCATTAATTCTTTTATGCCATGCCATATGCTATAATGAAATTTTAAACAAAACAAATGTGAAAAAAATATTTTAATATTTTATTCTATTTGTCATGTTCAAGTTTTATTTTACCCCAAAATCAAATAAGAATTTATATTTATATTAATATTATATTTTATTTATATTGAAGATAATTTCTTAAATTTTTAGATTTAAAGTTTATTTTTGGTTTTTGTTTGTTTGTTTGCATTGCATTTTTGCAGTTTTTTCTCACTAATTCTTGACATAAATTGAAAAATATCATTCTCATTACTTATTGCAAAAACAATAATGATAAATTGTTTGTATAGTATTAACATTTTAAAATAAATAATAAATAATTGTGCTAAAGTATTTTTTTTTACTGCAGTACAGTATAATATAATCAAAAAAGTCAACATCAAGTTGTGAATAAAAAAAATAAATAAATAATAATAATAATCTTCAGATGCACACTGTAAGAAAAAATCCGTAATTGTTTGTCAGGACATTATCCGTTGAGTTTACACACATTTCTTTTAACCCTAAAACACAATGCAATGCTTAATTCAAAATACAGGTAAAATACCTGCGCAAGAATTAATACAGAAAATCTCTTCGTATTAACAGAGTACATTGGCCCCTATTTTTTACAGACTTTTCTTAGAGTGCGTTTATGAGAATATGCATGGAAAATGTGCTTAATTGGCATGAAAATAACATTATAATACAATGAAATGTTATATATGCTTTATTGTAGTTATTAGATATAGGCTTTATTTAATAGGATTTGTTTTCTCAATGCAAAATATAATTTAATTTGATTTTGGGGTGAAGTATGACATTTGTTGCTCTGAGTCTATATGCATAGTTGTTTAGACCATGTGACGAAGCATTAATTAATCGCTAATGAAGAATTAGTGCTTGGGTGTTTCCATTTTCAGATCTATAAATATGTAGGGGTTTAGTTTCACAGCATGATAAACACAGAAGCATCTAGAAGGGGATTTCTGTACATCTTCCCCTTTCTAAAGGTAAAGTGGAAAGATCTGCGAAAAACCTTTACAATGATGATCTAAACTTGATCTCAAGGCTGTTCAAAGCAAAGCAAAATATCACTAAGATTCCTCTAGTTTATGTAAAGCATTTCAGATTGAGTTTTCTTTCTGATGTGCTACTATTCACTTGTTTAAAAAAAAAAGACCCTAAAATGAAAATAGAAAAATAAAAACTGATTCAAAATATTAGTAAAATAATAAAATATAATAGTATCTCAGTGATACTAAAATAACACTGCAACAGACATTTAGCACTCAGTTTAGCAATTTTAAATATGACAATTTATATCAAATTAATTACTATTTTAATAGTTACTTTATATCAACTTAAGGACCAGAATTGAGAACTAAAACATCCTAGCAAATGCATAGCAACGCACTAGAACTGTGGTATTTTTGCACGTAACGTTTTGCTTTAAAAGCTCTTAAACAACATGCAAACCTGCGAGAAGCCTGTAGAGACGGCCGGTTTGCTGCTGTGACCTCTGATGCTTCCTCCATGTGAGGTATGGCAGCCCGAGTTTGAGTGACCTTTGACCTTTATGTAGAACATTCTTCCCTTTGTCCGTTTCAAAACTTGAGAGTGTTGGAGTGTTGGACATTAGCATGTTGATAATGCTCAAATAAGCATAAAATGACACAGATATTGGGTAAAATATACTAAAAATTTTAGTTTCCCATATAAATGAAGAAGTACATTTAAAATTGAGAGTTCTAAATTCAATTTTGCATTCTAAAAATCGAAAGCATTCTAAAATGCTTTAGAATTCTAAAGTCTTGATGGTTGCTATGATGCCTTTAAAAGGCTGTCTCGGTAGGCAGCTCACTAGGTTTTGGAACGGAGCGTGTGTGAGTTGATTTACTGAAATCATCAGGAGTGTTTTACAGCACGCAAAGCAAGTGAAATATTGAAGTTGTCACTGGCCTTTTAAGGCTTTAACCAAAACATGTCATGGCAGAGAAAATAACCGTGATGCTATCCAGAGAGAACCGTTTGTTTGGGAGTTTGACAAAAAGCCCCGTTGGGTCAGCGGGCAGCCCGAGCGGAGAGACCCACGGTCCAAGCAGGGGAATGTGATATATTGTGGCAGGAAGATTAAACCAGACCAGCGTGGCCTCAAGCCTAACCGACCAGCAAGAAAAACAGCGGCCAGAGAAGAACCTATGATGGGGGAGGATGAGAAACACACAGAAATCTTACAATCACACTCAATACACGGCCTGCCAGTCTTCATTATTAGTACCGTCCACATTTTAGAGTAATAAAAGTCAGCAAAACTAAAAAAGAACAAGTATTGGAAGTATAAAACCGATTGTCAAGCATTTAAGTAGCTTTTATATCAAAAAAGAGTCATTTAAAAGAGTCGTTTTATATATTGACTTGTATATATACACTCTTAAAAATAAAGGTGCTTCAAAAGGTTCTTCAAGCGATGCCACAGAAGAACCATTTTTGGTTCCACAAAGAACCATTCAGTCAAAGGTTCTTTAAAGAACCATCTCTCTCTTACCTTTTTATAATCTGAAGAAACTTTTTTCGCCCCAAAGAAGCTTTTGTGAAACAGAAAGGTTCTTCAGATGTTAAAGGTTCTTTATGGAACCATTTAGACAAAAAGGTTCTTCTATGGCATCGTGAAGCACCTTTATTTTTAAGAGTGTATATATATATATATATATTAGTGAAAGTTTTTGTTTACATAATACATGTGTGTGTACTGTGTATATTTATTATCGATAAATAATAATTGTCATACAGTATATATTTTGAAAATATTTACATGTATATATTATATAAATATATTTCATATATCAACATAACATATTTTTCTGAAATATATACATGCACGTGTGTGTATTTATATATACATAAAAGCCATGTACTCGTCATTGTTTAAATTCCTCCCAGACGCAGAGAAGTTCAATTCAAGCCCTGCCAGGTTTTTACCCAACAACCTCTCATTCTTACACAGAAGAAAAGCGCAGGGCGAGCATTAAAATTCCTGCTCCTCCTCTGGTACAGTAGGCTGATCTCAGATCTCAGCGCTGCCTGACTCCGTTCGGGCTCACATAGGTGGGCATTCATCAGCTCCACTTTCAAAATCACTGCAATGAACAGCAATGAATGCCGTTGTAGTGTCGCCGAGCACCTTTAAGGGATTACGCGCGGACGGTGACCTTTGCGCGAAGGTACAAGAAGACCGCGGACGCCAGACACGGAGCGTCACCTGCGCGTCCGATGCGTAAAAGCGCGCAATGACAACAAAAAGCGCGCACTGCGGTTCCGCCGCGCTTAATCTGAATCTGGAAATTAGGATTAGGAGGTTGTTGGGTGAAGCGAATCGCCCTCCTTTGTTCACGCGGATGAGGTTCTGACGTGTTCCCGGGGGATTTTCAGTCGCTGTACAAACGCTGGAGACACACATACACGCGCTCTCAATGCTGCTATGACTTCCTGCATGCGTTCATACTGTGATCTGATTGCTCTTCGCATGCTGCTGCTGCTGCTGCTGCTCGTGAGGTCCGATTCGGGTGAGTTTGGCTGTCGATCGTAACCCTTTCACAGCGCGTTTCATTGTTTTTCCCATGTCATGGTGTAGCCGGACGCATCCCAAGATCGCGAACTCATGCCAATGAATGGAAATGTCAGTGTTTACACACGGGGCAAGTTGTCACGCGGTTTATGGCTCAATAAAAACAAGGTTTCGAGTCAGAACTCTCTGTTCTCCCACAGGGGTTTTTATGTTGGTTTAAAAGTGTCCACATGTTCCAGTATCATTTTGGGTAGTTTGGTTTGGTGACAAGTGAGCACTTAAACCACGCTAGTAGGCTATACGTTAAAGTAGGAGTCAGAACAGTAATTTCTCATAAATGTGTAGTTTATTTATCAGCTCCCATTGATGGCTTTGATATTGTTGTCACTTTTCCCATTTAGGCTGTTTTCCAGTTGCTGAAAAGCATTTAATAGCCTATAATACATTTTAAATGTTAAGGATGATGCCATTATTATTTTTGTGTTAGATAGTATTTAGTAGGATTTAAACACAGGTGTTTTACTGAAATCAGTGTCAGTAACCAGCAGGCTCCTATTGTGACAACTTGCCCCATACTATATAGCGACTGTAATGGGATTTTCCTGCTGGAAGAAAAAAACATAGTTTAAACATGGTTTCAAATGACCATAGCTGGGTTTAGCTGATTGATCATCTGGTTTCCCAGCCTGGCCAGCTAAATAATTGGTCAAAACCCCTCTAAAACCAGCTGGAGCCAGACCAGGCTGGAAAGCCAGCCAACCATCTTTTTTTTCAGCAGTGTATAAAAGAACGTTTATATAGCATTTTTGGTTGTGCACATTAATATCTTCCTGTTTTATCTAGATATTTATTTTTGCTTCTCGCAATTAATATTCGGATTGACGTTGACATTCAGTGCCATGATTTGTTCATGTTTCGGAGACAGTTTCTTTCCAAACAGTGTGCTGTTCTGTCCTGACAGGGTCTGTGTTGGACACAAAGGCCCGCTGAAGATGTGAACGCTCGCTCATTCATGTGTAAATGTCTCTGTCTCTGTGTTCAGCGGATAACCGATGCTTGTCTTCCCTCATCTCCACATGTGAAGACTGTTTGAGACGCGGCCCTGAATGCGCTTGGTGCTCTCAGGAGGTAGTGTGTGTGTGTGTGTGTGAGCTGCTATCGTTGTACCTCGGCACACTGTTCGAGGTTTGTAAGTGTGTGAAGTGCTCGTGTTTAGTCTGTTAGTGATAAAGCACTAGAGCCCCAGAATGCACCGGTGATCGTGGGAACCCATAAAATAGAAATGCGGAAACTGCTGATATGCCCATACACTCCCAGAAAAAAAAAGGTACAAAAGATAAATATACGTCTTTGTACCCTATTTACCCCTGAATGGTACATATTAGTGCTCTGAAAGTACCTTTGGAAAGTGACAATTTTGTACCTTTTTTTCTTGGCGTGAAAGACAAATTGCACATGAAATAGATACCAATAAGGTTCACCTGTTACTAATTTGTGCCTATTTTATTTCATAAACATCTGAGACCAAGTTAATGTTTAAATGAAACTGCATTTCATAAAAAAATGCATAAAATAATTAATTTAATTAAATATTATATAAAAAAAAAATTAAACTTAAATGTGAAAATTTGGCAATTAACCAAAATAAGTTTAGGTACTAAAATTACAACAAAAAAAACACCTTAGCAACCTCATTGCAACGCCGTGGCAACCACCCAGAACACCCTATCAACACTGTAGTAGCCCAATACACCTTAGAAACAACAACAACCCAAAACACTTTAGAAAGCACATAACAGCATGTCAACATAAATGCAGAACGCCTTAGCACCTTGACATTACATAAAAAAATTAAACTTAAAAAATTTGAAAACTTTGCAATTAACCGAAATAATTTTAGGTACTAAAAAAATTTTAAATGTTAAAGCTATATAGAAAATTATAAAAGCACATAACAAAATTACTAAAGCGTAAACTAAAATTAAAATAAAAACCAAAAATATAGAAATAAAAGCAAAATATTAATTAATACTATAATAGTATATAAATAATACAACCAAAATTCAAATAAATTAAAGCTAAATATAAAAAAAAAAACTTATAAATGATAATGATAAAATCACATAACAGAATTACTAAAAATGAACATGAAAACTGAAAAGATAAAATGAAAAGCTAATTGAAAATATGAATACTACAATAGTATGTAAATAATAGTAAAATAACACCGGTTTAACTGGGGCAAGTATTTAAGAAATATTTTAGTGATTTTGTTAAACACATTCCTTTGTGTTTGACATTATTTGTCACATTATAAATCAAAAGGCAGTCCTTCCAAAAATGAGTAAATCAAATACTATATTGCTTGTTTTGGTTTAGTCAAGCCTGCAACTAAAATTAAAATAAATTTAAGCGAAATAGAAATTTAAAAAAGTATCAAAATGAATAAAAATTCAAATGAAAACTGAAAAGATACAATTAAAAGCTATTTCTAAATATTAATAAATACTATAATAGTATAATAATAATAAATAAATATTTTTTCACACTATTAATAAAAAGTCAGTCCTTTCAAAAAATAAGCAAATTAAATACTTAAACACTTGTCCATTGAAGTATGGTTGTGTTTGGTCAGGCCTTAGTCAGTCAGTTTATAGAGTTTTAACTTTCTCCATCACTGAAATGTTTATTTTCTTGGGACAAACAATGAATTTAAATGCTTTCTTTGTAAAGAAAGTCATGCATATTTCTGGGATTGTGGTAAAGATAATAAGTTCATTAAGTCACTGCGGTGCTCGGCACCGGTCAGACTAATCCCTGAACGACATCTCAGCAACAATCGCTGAGCTAAAGAGCTTTTGCTCGCTCTGTGTACTTTAAATAAGGCCACCCTACACAGCAGTCACCTTGTTTCTTTAAACAGCCAGCATTTGCAGTGACCATTGACCTGTCTGATGGTTTGTTTACTCTGACAGAAGTTTCTGGACGGGGCTCATGTAAGTCAGCGATGCGGATCTGTGTCTGACCTGCGAGTCCGGGGCTGTGAAGAGGCATTCATCGAGAGCCCAAATGTGAAAGTGGAAGTAAACGCCACTATCAGCAGCTCACAGGTGTCACCGAGAGAGATTAACATCCATCTACGACCAGGTAACTTCTGACCACAGTAAACCACTAAACTGATACACAATCGGCCTAGCAACCACCAAGAACACCTTAGCAATGCCTTAGCAACCCCAAACACCTTCGAAACAACAACAACACAAAACACTTTAGAAACTACATAACGACGTGCCAACATAAATGCAGAACACCTTAGCAACCTCATAGAAACGCCATGGCAACCACACAGAACACCCTATCAACACTGTAGCAGCCCAACACACCTTAGAAACAACAACATCCCAAAACACTTTAGAAACTACATAATGACGTGTCAACATAAATGCAGCACACCTTAGCAACCTCATAGAAACGCCATGGCAACCACAAAGAACACCCTTGCAAAGCAACCCAATACAACATAACAGCGTTCCAACATAAATACAGAATACCTTAGCAACACCTTGGTAACCGCCAAAAACACCTTAGAAACCACATAACAGCGTGGCAACATTAATGGAGAAGACCCTAGCAACTCCATGGCAACCGCCAAGAACACCCTAGAAAAGCAACTCAAAACACCTTAGAAAGTACATAACAGCATGTAAACATAAATGCAGGACACCATAGCAACGCCATGGCAACCAGCAAGAACTTTGTCATTAAAGGAACACTATTTTTGAAAATAGGCTCATTTTCCAACTCCCCTAGAGTTAAACCGAGTTTTACCGTTTTCGAATCCATTCAGCCGATCTCCGGGTCTGGCGGTAGCACCGTTAGCATCTCGCTCAAAAATGACCAAAGAGTTTCTATATTTTTCCTATTTAAAACTGGACTCTTCTGTAGTTACATCGTGTACTAAGACCGACGGAAAATTAAAAGTTGCTATTTTTTTAGGCCGATATGGCTAGGAACTATACTCTCATTCCGGCGTAATAATCAAGGAACTTTGCTGCCGTACCAGGCGCAATGATATTACGCAGCGCGAGAGTATAGTTCCTAGCCATATCGGGCTATAAAATCACAACTCTTCATTTTCCGTTGGTCTTAGTACACGATGTAACTACAGAAGAGTCAAGTTTTAAATAGGAAAAATATTGAAACTCTTTGCTCATTTTTGAGCGAGATGCTAACGGTCTAATCAGATTCAATGATCTATGCTAAGCTACAGCTAAAAGTGCTACCGCCAGACC